TTAGGCCATTTTGAAGTTATTCACTTGTTAAAAAGTCAAAATGGAATTATGGCCTTTAGACTAAGCCATTCTTAAAGTTACCCCTCTTTGTTTTAGCCATTTGTACAGAAATCAAGCGACAGAAATGCACCAGAAAACTCACAAATGGGTGGGCCCCACTGTGTATTAAAAAAATAAATGCTCCGGCCCCACACGGTGTGAGTATTCTGGCCAATTTCTGTTGATTTTCCCTTTTGTGCATGTAGTGTGTTTCTAAATTTCTTGACATGATTTGCGAAACCAAATTACCGATTTCCAATTTTGCCTTTGAATTGAAAGAGCTATTTACCATTTTACCACAGAGTGCTTTTCCATAACCTCCGAAGGACATTTATGGTTTGGAATAATTTCAAAAATTGGACAACAATTTTTTTATGGGATTGTCGTTATTTCTTTATTAAACATATGTAATTTATGCTTCAGTGGGCCCACCAATTTGAACCAAAAAATCTTTTTTCTCAAATAATCGAGAACAAACAAGCGCACCCTGCAAGTTACAATTTCAAATAAATTATATACATAGTAACATGATTTTTAATAGAAATTAACATAAAGTGGAAGTTACCGTCAACGTGACTCATTAAATGTAGAATTTTTCAAAAAAAAAAAAAATTAGTAAAAAAATTATAAAAAAAGTAGAATACATAAACTACGTACATGCGAAAATTACATGGATTGTAACAACAAATAACATATTTGAAGCATCAGTTGTGCTAGAATATCAGTCCAAGTGATCACATTTTATAGGTTCAATTAAATGAATTATATGACTTTGCATTTAAATGAATTTATCATTCAATGTTATATAATTATCACCTAAATTGATATTTAACATCAATGTTGATGAATAATATTATTCTTTAAAAATCGAGGTTGTGTCCCGTAACTTATTCTTCTAGAGATTGTGGCACATTAGTACTTGTTATTTTTATCTTTTTGTTGTTATTATCTTTCACTAATTATCTGTCTTCTAAAAAGTGTACATATGCTTCAAATAGGCTTTGCTTAACGCACGAAGTTAGGTCTTGCCGTGTCACTCTCTTCCTTTCTTCCTTTTATTATTATTTCTTTGATTAATTTGATAGTAAATTATTTAATTATTACATAAAGTTACAATATAATATATTTACTTATTGCACAGAAGCTTTCGATGATCCTGTAGGTGGCAGAGCTAGGGGGCGGGGTGGCGACTGCTCCTAACATTTTAAATTTTTTGAATTTTTATTAACAT